GGCTGATAAGATCGTGTCTCCTCAGAATGCTTTCCTTGTCTTTCCTTGTCTCCACCCGTTACACAGCAATATACCCTAGCTCACAAGCTCGCAGTGGTTCGTCTTGCCAAGCTGGCAATCCTGACAATGAAGAAAGAAGAGCATCGGCTGCGGCAGGTCCACATGTGCTGCCATCTGGCGCACACCATCTTCCTCTCCAAGATCTGCGATGACCGAATCATCCAGGTAGGTCAGTCAGTTAGTCAGTCACACAAGAGCAAGCAAGCGGGGGCACTGCACTGCACTGCCGCACTCACTCACCACCGCTCTGGTCAATCTCTCGATTCATGGATGGTCAATCTCTTCGACGTGCCGTTCTGTCCCCGCCAATCCATTCTGTTATGTCTGCGTGAATGTCATTGGTTTGATTGGGTGCGGTGGCTGCAGCGGTGCGTTCGTGCGTATTTGGAGGGCGGCGGTCGGCTGGCATTCCCTCACCAGGTGCGGGTCGACCGTCCAATGGACAGGAGTGACACAGGGGGCGAGTCCGAGTGGACGACCGGCCTTGATGACCTGCTCAGCATATTCAAGTCATCGATCCGGGTAGGGTAGGTGGCCTGGTCAGCCAGTCAGTGGGCAGGCAGACAGGCAGGCACCCGAAGGGATGCACACATACACACATGCAAACGCCACCCAACCCAGCCTTTCCATTCGCTCAATCACTCCCTGGCTGGTTGGGTTGTGTGTGCTGTGCTTTGCTGCTGTCCGCCTGCAGGTGCAGGAGCGCTCTCATGTGTGGCTCTTCCAGAACCCGGTAAGGGAAGTGGGACAAACAGGCGGGCCGGGAGGGAGTGAGGGAGGAAGGGAATGGTATCTGTCTGTCACGAGGGCCGGCCTCGACAATCACTTGTTTGCAGCCTAGCGCACACATCGCCGGTGCCATACACCGCAAGATGCTGCGGTACAGTACACACGCATACACACATACATACACACATACAGACAGACAGACAGATGCGTACCTACCGTAGCGTACCTTGTTCGTTCATCTCATCTTTGATAATTAATGACTGACAGGGCGCTGAAGCGGAAGGCTGCCTCTTACAACATGGCTGTGCTGGTGAGTGAGTGAGTGAGGGAGTGAGGGACCCTTCCACTCTGTGTGCCTTGATTGATTGGATGTGGCGTATGGTATGTCGGTTGTCTGTCTGTCTGTCTGTCTGTGTGTCAGCTGCTGTGTGCGGCATATCGGTCCTACCGTGTGCCGTGTCGCCTCGTGCTGCGGTGCCCCTCGCTGCCCGGCGGGGGCGACAAGACGCCACACACCAAGGCAGCACTCTGGCTCGAGCTCTTCTGCTCGAAGCAGTAAGGTGGCACCCACACAGACACAGACAGACAGACAGACAGACAGGGAACTTAGTTAGTGCACACGTGTGCATTGATTGCATTGATGCTATGCTTTCCATATCAATCACTGCATGTCATGTCATGTAGGTGGGTGCCGCTGTATCTGGATGGCGACTTTGCTGTGCCGCCAGAGGAGCCACTGCCAAGGGAAGAGGAGCCCGCCCCAGCAGCAGCAGCAGCTGCTGCGGCGGGTGGTCGGTCGTCATCGTCGGGGATGGCGTCGCTGGGTCTGTTCCTGGACGAGCACGGTGGATCCGACAGCGACAGTGACAGTGACGGCGCCATGGACGAGGATGGGGATGGTGAGGGAGATGGGGGTGTTGACCACCCGGCCAGGGGGCCCGTGTTGGTGCGGGTGCCCGATCCAGGTGACGCGGGCAGCGAGAGTGATGAGGAGATGGAGGGCATCAGGAGACAACTCGTCGACTCACTCACCAACAAGCACACCAACAAGCCCAAGGGGAGGGGGAGGGGCAAGGGTGGCGATGGGGGCGGCGTCGGTCCTCGTGATATCATACTGGGCTGCCGGGCGGGGAGGCCCGTCGATATCACACTCAGATATGTCGATAAGTAGGCCATGGGGACAGACAGAGCCACTGGACACAGACGGGCGGGCAAAGAGGGAGGGAGAGAGGGAGGGAGGGAGGGAGGCAGTGGATTGGATGGCTCTGTGTTCTTGACTGTGCGGTTGTGCACCTGCAGGTGGTCTGACGTACTCAAGCATCGGGGTGGTGGGCTACAGCAGCTGATAGAGGACATCACTGAGTGTGCGGCCAAGTCATCCCGCAGCCGCCGACCTACCATCGGTAAGCGAGGGAACGGGAAGCAACGCGGTAGGCATTCACTGTGAGTAGTGCATGTATCGTTTCAGAGGATCGTCTGGACGATGAGCGGCTGGGTCGCAAGAAGTCGCGTGAGCCGCTGCCGTCGGCCCAGAAAGACTTCAAAAACCACCCGCTATTCGCCCTTCCATCTGAGGTAGGTAGGTAGGCCTAGAGGGAGGGAGGGAGGGAGGGAAGATACATGCCATGGGGCCGTGCTGTTGATGCCATGGACGGGTGGGGTGGATGGGATGATACACACATGGACGGATGAGCATTGCGTTGCATTGCATTGTGTGTCATGTCACGTCACATGTGTTGTGTGTCAGTTGAATATGGACGAGGCGATCCATCCGCGTGCAGTAGAGGCTGCTGGTGCTGTGGTGGGGTACTTCCAGGGCCAGAAGGTCTACCGCCGCGGTGATGTCACCAAGCTGAGGACCGCCGACCAGTGGAAGAAAGAAGGCCGACAGGTAGGTAGGCTGCCTACATAGGGAGATGGAGGGAGGGAGGGATACAAACAAACAGACACCACTGCAAAGAGGCAGGCTGTGCTGTTGTGGACGAATGACCATGTGTGTACGGTACGGTGCGTCCGTCTGCAGGTGATAGAGTGCGAGTTGGAGCGGCCCTTCAGGACTCAGCCCCGCAAGCCCACCAAGAAAACCACACACGGTGGTACCGCAGGTCAAACAGCGTGGCACGCAGCGCCATCCATCCATCCCACATGTGCCTATGTTGCGTATGTGTGCGTGTATGACAGATGCGGCGATGCAGGAGGTGGATGCTGTAGACAGGAAGCTGTATGGTGTGTGGCAGACGACCCCCATGGCGCGGCAGGTGGCCACCAACGGCACCATCCCCGTCAACGAATACGGAAATGTCGACCTCACCAGCAAGGTATGGTTGGTATACACACCACACCACACCACCAACGACGGACGTCCGTAATACTGAGGTATGTATGGCCCATCAGTCACTTTATTGCCGCTTGTCGTGTGTACCCTCGGTATGCAATGCAGGTGGGGTTGCCTGTGGGCACAGTGCACCTGAGTGAGGGTGAGTGTCCCGGTGCCTTGCGTGCTGCGCGTCGGCTCCAACTGGAGCATGCCCCCGCCCTCGTGGGCTTCGACTACCAGTGGAGCGGCGCCAAGCCACGCATCGACGGTGTGGTCGTCATGCTGCAAGACGCAGACAACCTGCGGGAGGCTGCACAAGGTCAGTCAGTGAGCGGCCGGCCGGGCCGGACACATCTTCATTCACGTCTTTCTCTGCGCGGATGGATGTCTTGATTCATTCAGATTTCTTGCGGCGTCAGGCGGATCGGAAGCAGCGGAAGGAGGAGGCCACGTGCCGGCAGCTGTGGCGCGGCGTGCTCAAGACAATGCTGGCCAGGGCAGACCTACAACTGAGAGGGAGGGGCATGCGGTAGGGGAGGTGGGACATACACTGCATGGACGTACGCTGCAGCAGCCGCACCACCTTACCATCATGTGGACTACACGACACTCATTCTATCGTATCTGGTGGAACCAGCGAGGTGGCGGGGACAATTCTAGGCTCGCATCTTTCCCGAGCTCGCAAAAGAGAGGGGAGAAAGGAGGGAAAATGATGTATTCCTCGACGGCGTAGATGTCCTCAAAACTATCTTCTCAAGCCGCTTCAACTTGCAATGAATTTTTCTGAGCCCTGTGCATCACCGCCGTGCGGCGAGGTCTTCATGATGAGCCCCGCGACAGACGGCCAGATGCGGCGCGTTCACTCCCTCACGGGCCGCCCCGTTGCCACTCTAGCCTCCGGCACGAGCCGATGCCTCATTTCACTCAGCAGCGCATCACAGCCGCCTTCACGCAGGGCCCCCCACTCAGACGACGGTTGCGAGGACTCTGCAGTAGTGAGGGACAACATTGCTGATCTCGCCGTGTTCGAGGGGACCGCGGTGCTACCGAGGGCGATCTCGGAGTGGCGACCATTCGTGGATGAGTGCTGCGTGCGGTCAGTTGGGGTGGGCGAGGAGTCTCTTTGCGTGGTGGCTCAAGACGGGCGGCTGTATTCATGCGGCCACTGCTCATTCGGGTGCCTGGGGTGGGGAGGGGCGGCAGAGGGACAGCAGCCAAGGCTCATTCCTGCTCTCAAGGACCACCGATTCACAGCTGTTGCGGCCGGGAGGTCATTTGCAGTGGCCCTCACTGACGGGGGAGAGCTTTTCAGCTGGGGAGGGGGCTTTGCTGGTGAACTGGGCCTCTCTCCACCTGTGGCTGTCGCCTCGGTGCCTCGATGCGTCAAGGTGCCCTCGAATGAGTATATAGACGACGGCAAGCCATGCCCCCGTCTGTCGCTCCAGCACTTCCCCCGTGTGGTGGCCATCAGTTGTGGGGAAGAGCACGTTCTGGCCTGTACAGACACCGGCAAGTGCCTTGCGTGGGGGTCAAATGCGGCAGGGCAGCTCGGCCTTGGGAGGAGGGCACCACGCTGCCCTGGACCTCAGCTCGTGCGTATCTCTGGCTGTGTGAGTGATGTGGCTGCCGGGAGGGCACATTCGGTGATTCGGGCGGATGCCAATGAGTGCTACGCCTTTGGTCTCAACATATACGGTACGTGTACTTCCTTGTGCCTCTCCCGCGAATCTATCCTTGATTATGCATGCTATGCTATTGCCTCAGGTCAGCTGGGTCTCGGCCACACAGTGTCTGCGTTTCTGCCAGAACACATCAGCCAATGGCCGCCGCCCCTTCCATACGCACCCCCAATACCTACCTTCCCGCCCCCCTCCACTGTTCCCGTGTTGCCGGAGCCCCTCAGCCGGCAGCAAGGCCAGAGGATCGTGGCCATGTCTGCGTCGGCAAGCTTCACGCTCTTCCTCACACACCAAGGCACTGTCTATTTTGTCGGCAAGCTGCCTGTGCCGTCGGACATGGTCGCTAAGGAGAACAAGCCGGGGACGTGTGTGCGGCCGCTGGCTGGTGTGGGCAAAGTTCGGGAGAGGTTCGATGCCCTCGCACACATATCGAACCGTGACGCGTTCAGGAAGATGGCGGCCTCACGCGAGGGGCGAGAGAATGCCACCGGCGACGGAGAGATGCCGCAGGAGGGGGCAAACGATGAGGAGCTGCGAGAGATCAGGAGAATCCATTTGAGGGATCTACCACGCGGGAAGGATACAGGGGATCCGTTAAAGGGGACTGTACTGTGCCCAGGTGAGCGGAAGCGTGGCAGAAAAAAGCACACAAATATGTATCTCCTTTTGGTGTTTCTCCATGTGTCTGTCTCAGTGGTGCTTGACTGTCCCGAGTGGCGCAAGACCCCCGATCGGGCGACCACATCCGGCAGTGGCGTCCGGCCGTCCCGCCGCACCCCTGACGCATCGGCCATCCCTCAGCACTCCAACAAACAGCCCCATCCTCTCGTGGAGTTCTGCAGACCCTGCCCCGCATTCACTCGCATCGCCTGCAGTGACCACCACATTGTCCTCTTCTCCCCTGCAAGTGTGACGCGTGTTGAGCCACGGATAGTGCCGCTGCTGGGCACCAACGGCGGCAAGAAGCTGCGCATCCAGGTCATGGGGTTCAGGACAGCCGCTGCGGAGGGCGGCCATCTGACGAATGCAGATGGACAAGATGAGGGTGGGGTCCCTGTGAGAGTGCGGTTCGCATGTCTCTCGTCTGACGTGCAGCCCATCCCGACCCGGCAGGACGCCCTGAGGCCAAACCTGATCGCGACCAATGACAGCCTGGAGCTGTCGAACTGGGGCGAAGTTGTGGATCACTGTGAGTTGGAAGGCCTGCTGCTGCCTTCAGATGAGACGAGCGAGGAGGGCCAGTGGGTGGAGGTGACGGTGCCGCTTCTGTGGAAGGCGCCACCATGCTGGCCCGATGAGGCCCATCAAAACGAGGATGGTACAGCCGTCAAAGTGGACGGTGATGATGGACAACAGGACAGAGAGGGCTTCCATGTGTCTCCCCCGGGGCTGACGGCATGGTTCACCTGTGCTGTGAGCCCCGATGGGGGAGACACATGGACGGCGACTACCTCCAACTCGTGCCTGTTCTTTGCGTGCACTCTGCCCGTCTTGATGGACCGGCTGGAGCCATCCAACTGCAATGTCAAGGGTGCGGTGCGTGTGAAATCTGCTGCTCCCCAAGATATCTGTCTTTCGCATCGTGGCTGGGTGTTTGTGCAGGTGGTGAGGAGGTCTTCGTGATTGTGGACTCGCTCCCGAAAGGCCTTCCGACCACAGACACTGTCGTCAGGCTGACACTCATATTCACACGTATGCGTGCATCCACCTCATGCATCAATCATCCTACACGCCCACACCGTGCCCCTGCTGCTTCTTTGCCAGCAGCGGATGACTCTGATGGAGCGGCCACGGCCGATGCACAGCCACAGCCCATCACACAAAGTGTTCTCGTCACTGGTATGTGTCCGTACATCCTCACAGACCTGTCTAACTCGTCTATGTATCCTTCAGGTCAGTTTGTATATCGTGGGCCGTCGCCAGCTGTCCGTTTCCTCTCCCCTGACCTGAGAGGCCTCCCACTGCCATGCGGAACAATACAGGCCATGTGTGACGTCGCCTTGGATGGTGAATGAACAAACACAAAGCAGCCGACTTCTCGGCGTAGAACGAAGTCTGTGTGTTGTCTCTTCTCTCGATTGACATGACTCAGGGCAATCGTTCTCCGGGAGCCCTTTTCCGTTGCTGATACACGATGCACACCTGGTCGCGATAGTGCCCAACCTGGGACCGATTGATCAGGTGGCTCAACCCGGTTCGACCGGCGAGCTAAGTGCATGGATACATGTCTCCATCAACTTTGCAGGCGACGTCAGTGCTGATGAAGCCTTCAGCTGTGTTCAGCAGTGAAGTGCTGGCCGTGCGGGCGGCACCCGTCTCGCCAGACACATCCACCAGCGGCCCTCCCTACCCCGTGGGGGCCGAGATGGACCAAGCCAGGGGGGGCATCCGATGCAACGTCAAGCGTCCAGCTGACAACATCACACAGGTGCGTGTACCAACAGATCATTCATACAGTTAATACCCATTCTTCACCCTTTTTTTGATTCAACATGGATATGTCTCAGCTGACGTTGGAAGTATCCTTCAATGGCCAATCCTTTACAAATGACCGCCTAGTCTTCACCTTCCACCCGCCCCTTGAGTGCACCAAGCTCTGCTCACTTGTCGACAACCCCAACGCGACAGATGAGTCGAATGCGCAGCAGCTGCTCGAGGTGACTGCCGACCGCTGCACGCTCGACGGAGACACCACTATGAGGCTGTTCGTCAGTGAGCTGCTGCCTTCGGACTTTGCCGCGGTCAAGTTCTCATTCATAAAGGTACCTACGATGGGGGAGCGGAAATGGGCCTGCCCCCATGTGTGTTTGATCGATTACATGTAGCCGCAAGAGGCTTCCGAGGGGGAAGAGGAGGAGATCGGTCACGTGGCTTCGGTCAGGGCCACATGCCACTGCCGAGTGGATGAGGGAGCCCCGGTGCCCGCAGAGAATGACGAGGCTGAGGACGAGACGCCTCCAGCAGAAGACAAGTGGCTCGAGGTAAGCCATCTTGCCTGGCACTCATGTGATGGACTTGTGCATGCGTGTGTGTGGGCGAATGTGTGTCAGTTCGTGACTCCATGCGTTGGCCGCGACGACCTCACCGACTGCGGCGAATCGCCATGGACATGCCGAGTGGACTTCTCTCTAAACGGGCAACACTCTTATACTATGGACAAGCCAGACCATGTCAAGCTCTACGGTGGGCGCGGATGTTCCCTGCGCATGCACCTTGGTCTGTCCTCATGAGCATGTATGCGTGCAGCGTACGAGTTGGATGAGGAGGGCAGGCCGATTAGGCGTGCAGCAGGACCACCTGAGCCGCAGAAGGGCAAGAAAAAGTGAATGTGGGGCTCGTACGGTGATGCGTACCTCATGCGTGTATCGACTGCACACGTGTGTAAGATTGAAGTTCTAAAATGGGAGGACGGTGGGACGATGGGAAGAGAGGGCGACTCCATGGGAGCCACATAAAAAATTTACAGTGGCGGAACGCGAGCTGCAGAGATCTGCCAAAGAATGGCAGCGAGTTGAGGGTGAGTGGTTAAGATGACTGAGGAGACGGAGTCGACTGGCGCAGGCACGTCGAATGTCGCCGGGGATGAGGCGCAGCAGGATGCCCTGACATCGTGGAGTGAGATGTTCGATGTAATCTTTGGCTACAATGTCGGCAACGTGCTCCTCACCGTGAATGCCTCGCTTGTGGTCATCGGAATCGTCATGCTGATCCTCATCTGGCGTGCGCAGACCGCCACGGAGCAGCTGCTGTACGGCGGCTATCTCGTCCTTGGGGCTGGGATGGCGCTGAGTGCCAATTATGTGGTGCTGGAGGCGCAGCGAATGAACAACGAACGTACCGCGGCTCAGGAGGACAAAGAGGGAAGGGAGAAGGCTGACTAGGGGCTTGCGGGGCAGTGCCGCGTGTGATGATGACTATGATGGAAGGGATCATGTGTGGCTTCCAAGTGGCAGAAGAGGGACTGTCTTATAGGCATACTGAGTGAGCATGTGTGAGTGTAAGCGCTTTATCACTGTGTAGGTGATGATGATGGGGTGTGTGTGTGTGTGTGTAGTCAGGACTCGTGTGTTGTGGAAACGCGATAGAAGACTATCGATGCAAGAGATGATCTATCTGGTTCTGTACACACCAGTTGACTGCACGTGGGGCCAATATTCCAACAGACACAGCTGCACAACTCTACGATGCCTACGTCTGCCCTTCTAGCTCTTTCACTTTGTTCTCGAGAGCGTTGACACGGTCAATCAAAGCCCCGGCCGCCTGCGCCACATACTTGCCCATCACATCGACCTCGATATTCACCCTGAATGGAATGGACAGATCAACACAGACACACATACGCCAATCAAACAAATGAATATGCATTGACTGACTACCGTGCGCTGACTCCTCGCGCTTCGTACCTATCGCCGACGTCCCGGGTAGGCAGTGTCACGCACTGCTGGGTGTGTGCAATGAGCATAAGAGTGAACCAAGGTTGTGGGTCGTGACTCCTGTTGACGTCACAGACGGTGAGTGAGGTGCCATCAACGGCGATGAAGCCCTTCTCCACAATGAAGGGCATCACCTCAGCGGGAGGTCCAATCTTGAGCCACAGCGATTCTCCCTCAGACCACCGATCCAGCACCACTCCAGTGCCGTCTACGTGACCCTGCAAGCCACAACAACAGCCGACACACACACATAAGTATAATTACACAGGCACAGGCACACAGGCACAGCGTCCCCGGCCCCTACCTGCACAAAGTGTCCGCTGCATCTGCCGTCGGCGGGTAGACTCCTCTCCAGGTTGACTGCATTCCCAGCACTGACGTCATCCAGATTCGTCCGCCGCAGCGTTTCAGGCGCCACGCCGACAGTGAATGTGCCCCGCCCCTCGCCCTCTCCCTTGTCGAGCTCCGTCACGGTGAGGCACACCCCGTTGACGGCCATGCTGCACCCGACATAGCAGTCCTCAAGAGTGCCCTCGGAGGCCTCGATGGTCAGCTCCACCCCTCGTCCACTCGTGCCGTCCCAAAGCGTCATCTCCTTGTCCTTTTCCGCGGACAGCACCGTCCCCATCTCCTCCACTATCCCAGAGAAGAGCGCAGTCAGCTGGCCTCGCCGCAGGAAACAACGATGCCGCCGGACAGGGGATGGTTGATGGGCTCTGCGGTTGCGGGAGGTGAAAGACGATGGAAGGAAACGCGAGTGACGAGGTGACAGGCGGGCAGAGGATGGGGATGGATGTGGAGGGCAGGGGATGAATGAGGGCGCGGCGTCTGAAGGTAACAGCAGCAAGTTGTGCAGACAAGCCAAAGCAAGAATGCAACCTGACAAAGGAGCAGCAGATTGCATCATCCTCCACCAAGAGCCCTGCCCTCTGATGAGGGTGTGGTTGCTTCTTCTGTGCTCGCTTAGATCGCAGATCCATTCGTGAAACCCATCTCATGTGTGCTGTGCCTCCCTCTAGTCTGGCCATTCTGAGTCCATAAATCATCTCGTTGGCTATGAGATCTCCATCATCTGTGTTATTCTTGCGGAAACATCCATCCATTCATGCATTTCCTCTCTGTCCCGAGGCGCATCTGCTGGTACGTACCCAGGGGGCGTCATTGAGCGCGAATCGCATTTGTCCCGAAGCAATCTTGTCAACAAATAGGCCGCATCATGGCCCCAGCCCACCCCCACACATGTATGCATGATGTGCTCATCGGCCATCCGTCATGGAGTGTTCCGCTTCCTCTTTCTGCGCAGATCATGGACGTCGCCGTCACAAACGGCGAGAGGGGCATCGGGCGGCAGGGCAGCACCCAGTCTCTCGAGCGACACGCGGAATATTTCATCCAGCAGGTCCCTGCACATGGCACAAGACCATTCATCGCATGCAGGCGCACCCTGACACATGTGTTCGTCTGTTGCGTCAGTCACGGAGTCACCTGACGATGTCTGTGAATGTGGGGCGCAGCAGTGGCTCCTTCTCGAGACAATTGATGGCCAAACTCTTCAGAAACGGATCCTGATTTCCACAGACCAAGAACAGCAGAAGGAACAGATAGACAAATACCATCTGACAAGACACCGGCAGATTCATGATACCGTGGTCTGGAACTCTTCTGCTGCGGGCAGACGCTCAGCGAACCCTTTCCAGCTCTGCACGCCCAACATTCGAGCTGCCACACGCACACAGACAGACAGAGACATCCCTTGCAGCCATTGATCGATCGGGCGGGAGACATGGCTATATGCAGGTGCGCACCGATGGTGACGCCGAACGCCCACACGTCGATTGGGCGCTCATACGTTCTGCCCCTCTGCTCCTAAAGATACGACACGAGCACAGGACGAAGCTAAGCTTCTTCTTGCATAATGTCTATCGGTCCTCACGGGCGCAATGTATCCCTCGGTGCCTGGACCTGGCACACCATCCAAAGGAACACACATCCATCCATCCATCCATCGTCGAGTATGTCATCCATTCATCCGTTTGTCCCACTTCTCGTCATGTTGGCGTCGAGGTGCAGATTGACCGCCGCCCGAGCAATGCTGAGACACACACACACACACACACACTCACAGAGAGTCATGCCAGGAAAGACCGGCAGTTGTCCGATTTCCTGTTTGGATGTGTGTACCCAAAGTCCGACAGCAGTGCCCGGCCGTCCTTGAGGAGGATGTTGGCCGGCTTGATGTCTCGATGCAGCAGGTGCGGCTTGGACGACGAGGGATGGTGCAGATAGGCCATGGCCCTGCACATCACAAGCATGGATAACAAACAGGACACCCAGGGGTGAAATGGCCAATATATGGCATCATGTACAGGCGTCATACCTGGCGGTGTCGAGGAGCACCTTCCTGATTGTGTCGAGGTCCATGAGGGCCGCCTGGTCTCTGTCTCTCTCTCTGGGCGGCTCGATCAGGCCTTCGAGCGACCCGTCACACAGCTCCATCAGCAGACACAGTGACTGCACATGGGTCTGCACACGGTTGCGGCCCTCGAGGCTCTGTAGACATCACATCAGGGCTGCTTGAGAGACAGCGTGCTTGCCACTCAGCGAGCTTCCTCACCTGTCGCCCGACGAATACAGCTAACAGACGCACGATGCGAGGATGGTTGTAGGCCCTGCAGACAGAACACACCCGCACCCACACACGGAAGGGATGACGCCTGATGTTCCCGGGCAGTGCTGCTGCTGGTGGTACGACGTTAACCTCATGATCTCGGCCTCTGGCACATTGTCGCTCCTCATCTCTATGAGTTTGAGTGCCAGCTCCAAACCGCCGTCCCTCTTGCCACCCCGCCCCTTCCTGGCCCTCGGTCCCCCGCCCTCAAGTGTGTCATCGCCCTCTCGCCGCAGCCGCACACGCCACACCTCCCCAAACATACCCTGATCGACGGCAAGTCAAGACGAGAAGAAACGGATTTGTTGGTTGCCTCGCTGCGTGGCTGCCTATGAATGACCTTGCCGAGTTGCTCGACGAAGGCGAAGTAGTCATCCAAGTCGACAACCTCGCGATGGTCGGGCGAGCGACGGTTGAGCGAGAAGTAGAAGGCCTCAAGCGTCTGCCTCAGGTTGCGGGGCAGCGACATGGCACACGTGTTGGACACCATCTCCATCTGACTCCGCCGGCGGGCGGCGCGGGCTGGGGCGGCCGGGGCGGCGTATGAGGCCGACTCTGCCGGACCAGGGGGCGCCCAGAATACAGGCCTGAGGAAGGAAGGAAGGCAGCACCAATCTCATGCGTGAGAGCGAGGCGTGTAGCATTCATGCATACATCATGCGTTCCACGTGACCGTCTCTGGAGTCTCCAGCGTGGCCATAGTCCACACCAAACCTGACACAATCAATGTATTGGAAGTGCAGCCAGGCACTTGCAGAAATGCAGGAGTCTTGTTCTCACATGACGACGTTATACACCATTTCGTCCTCGTCACTGGTGGGCTCGTTGTCCTGGGACGGCCGGGAGGGCCCTGCAGACGAGGATGACTGCGAAAGGGGACGCACAAGCCGACAGGGGATGGAACACGCGTCACACAGAGCCTGGAGAGACAAAGAGAGAGAGGGACGCACTTCGGTCGCTCCAGGACGCACATCGGTCGCTGCAGGTGAGCCTCTTTCCCCCCAACTGACAGACCTTGAAGAGGAGGGCTCGGTGCCGCGATCGTCCCCTGTTGATGTCGCCTATCTTGACCAGCCCATTCCTGTCCGCGGCCAACTCCGCAGCTGATAGTGTGTAGCGTGCAGATCCCCGCCGGCCGCCCCTGCCACCGCCGCCTTGGCCTGTGTCCCACATGATGGTGGACTGGACGTAGTCCTGCAGCTCTGAAACGAACTCCTCGTCTGTCAGCCCGTTGGCCTCCTCCCGCTGCTGGGTGACGTGTGAGATGCACTGTCGCAGGCCCTCATCTGTCTGGGGGTCGACGATGACAGTCTCACGGCACTGACACACCTGCCCAGGCTCCCACTCTCCTGCCGCCACGCACCTGCAGATGTCCACTCCCATCAGGTCGTCTGCGCCGTCGTCACAATCCGCCCCCTCTACCCGCTGCGGTCCATCTTCGAAGTGAAGGGGGTACTTGATCGCCATCGCACGGAAAGGCGACTCCTGGAGGGCCGGTGGAGGAGCTCGAGGGCGCCTCTCGGGTGTGCTGGGTTGGCGAGCCGGCTGTGGCGGGGGGTTGTGGGGCAGACGGCCATGGCGCCTCAGCCACTCGAGGCGGTAGTCGAGAGCGCTCAACCCCTGCATGCATCACCAACCAGAGAGATCAGAGGATTGGTAGGCAATGGGTAGGCAGGTAAACGTCGCAGGCCACGTTTACCTTTGCATTCGGTCCTGCGTCATAGAATGGCTGGCCATCGGTAATGGAATCATCAAAGTCGAGCGAGTTGTTCCTCTGAGAGTCGACACAGCATGCATACACACGATCTCAGCCGTACCACGCACATTTGGCTGTCCATTCATCTGGCTGAGTGTCACTTGCCATGTATTTGAGTGTGTGGTTGCGCAGCGGCAGCTCCTCCATGACTGTGTCTGAGCCACAAAGCGGAAACAAAGAACAAGTCCCACCAGCACTGCATGTAAGGCTGTGGGAGAGGATATATCTAAAGTCTGGTGGGACCGAGGAGGTATCTAAAGTCTTGGGAGAGGTTGTGGTTGGCCTGCAGTTGCATCAGCATCTCGATATCGTTGTGGGTCACCGGACACGCATGCTGGAGGATGAGCTGCACAAGGAGAGGGACATAGTCATGCACCAGGCCAGTTGTGTAAATTGTGTATATTTCCCTGTATCCCTGTCTCATCAATCAATCACCTTGAATGCCAAGAGTTGGTGCTCGACTGGCCCCTGCAGCAGACGAATCAGCCCTGACGTGCCCGTCAACCGCGGGCTGTCGAACAAACACCGCAGCAGAGACACGTCCCCCGCCGCCCCACTCGCCCCCGTCCCTCTCTGCTCCTTCCGGGCGAAGACGGGTTCGCGGAATGCAGGTGCCGGTGGGGGTGCTGGCTCGTCCTCCATCATCATGGCGTCCTGGGGGAACTGGAAAACGCAGAGGGGCGGCGGTGGAGCCGCGGCAGCGGCAGCAGCGTCGTCCATGGGTGCATCGACGCCTCCTCTCAGCACTTGGATGACTGCAGCGTTGTTGCCAGCAGAGGCTTCGACCGTCCCTGACGGAGCACACAAGGTCCATTCAGCGAATAAGGCCCATTCGTCACAGTCTTCATGTCCTCTCTCTCCTTTGTTTCTCACCCTCTGGCATGCCGAGAGAGAGGTTGACACCCGTCAGGTCGGTGATGCGACAGCTGGGCTGCTCGAGGGCGCCGACCAGCTCCTTCGCTAGGTTGTGCTCCTCCGCCCGAGACATGGCAGCATGGCCTGTGTCAACATGGACAGGGTGTGACCAGTCAGTGAAGAAACCTTTACGCTTGCTTCCCGTTTTCCCCCACCCAGTGTCGTGTGCGTCTGAGATGAAATGATGCCGTCCATGTGGATGCTCTCCAGCAGCGGGGCGGTCTCAATCAGATGACACACCACGCGAGCGCCTGAAGACACAACATTCAACACACACTCCCGTGTGAACACTTCTCCTTGCTGTCGTGTTTCTGCTGACCGTGTGCCGACAGGTCCACTCTAGAGATGTCGATGTATTGCAGAACACACATGCCGTCACTGCAGGCGGGCAGAGGCGCAAGATTGATGCGATGTGACCTCCGCTCGTGCACTCCGGGGAGTGCAGCAACTCTGACCTTGCTGCCTTGCCGAAGGAGTGTGCGATGTGCTCAACACCACTGTCACCTATCGCATTCTCAGAAACGTCTGCAACACACAAATGCCAAGCAATGGAGCAGTGCAGTGCGTGTGTGTGTTCCCTGCGCGATTGTTGGTGTGTACCGAGGTGTGTGAGCGTGGGTGCGATAGGCGAGAGCAGCTTCTGCATGTCCCGTGCGCTGGTGATGCCGCACTTGCACACACGGAGCTGCTGAAGCCGACACAGCTGACAAAAACAGGAAAAAAGGCGATCCCTCACCAAATCATCATCATTGTGTGGTGGATGCCGTGCGCACCTGTGCTACGATAGAGGAGTCCCGGGGACCTACGTACAGCTCACTGATGTCCAATGCCACTGAAACACAGTCACGACAACAAAGAATATCAGGGGGAGGGTGCCCCGTAGGGGGCTCTCACCCAGTGTGTTCCTGCAGTGCGTCAGGGTGCGTCTGAGGCTCTCCAGTGTCCAGCGATTTCGCCCCAGCGCCAGATGGGTGAAAGCCGAAGAAGAGCGGCGGGCAGAGACCAGCTCGTAGAGAGCCTTCGCACCACCCTCAGACGTCAGGGAGTTGCCCTGGTGTACAGAGAACAGAGAACATGAACGTCATCAATCCATCCATGTGTGGTACTGTTTTTGGCCCAATGCTGGGGGTGTTTTGCAGTGCTTCTCCCTCAATCACCTTGACATTGAGGCGATTGAGGGAGGGCATTGCGGCCAGGGGCCCCGCTAGTGTCTTCAAGCACTCATCGTCCACACCACAGTCCACAAGGCCTGCACACATTACCAACAGAGGGAATGGGCACGGCCATCAACAGAGGGGATTGGCACGGTCATCCCACTCGTACAGGCGTACTTACCCAGCTCCGTCAGAGAGAGGCCCTGGAACGTCGACAGGAGTTGTTCTGCAACACACAGAATTGTCCCTATTTCAACGTGTCGGTGATCTTGCATCTCACCCTGCAGTTTCTTGTTGGTGGACAGATTCCCGATGCTCTTGAGCACGAGGGCCTCCGGCAGCGGAGATGCCGCACAAAGCACCGGCAGCTGAGCCACTGCAAATGCTGCATCAGCCACCGTCAGCCGCCTTGGAGTGCAGTGCTGGGCTTGGATGAGTTCCACTAGCCTTTTGAACAGCTGTTTGTGGGCCAGCCATCCCGAATCCACTATTATCTCCCGCTCAGCCCGGCCATTGGAGATGCGGTCAAGAAGACCACGAATGTCTTCAATAGTCGACGGAGGACCGAGTGGCCGCGGCCAGCACCCATCACCTGTCATCAAACTCAGCCTCTATCCATCGATAATTAACGCCTCGATTCATTGCTCGATCGCCTTCTTTGGCGGGCCCGAGCTCGCAACACTCCTTCTCGAGGGTCCGTAAGGGACGGGTATGCATCGACAACGGCGTTCTGTACATTTGGAAAAGAAACGTTTTGAATCTCATGAAATGCCCAATTTTGACGCAACTCGTGCCCCGTCTCACTCGTCGTCTCCGAAGGGCAAAGGGGGAGACTCTGAGGAGTTTGAAGGCCGGTGCATTGCAAAGAAAGTGGAGAGGACAACAAAATCGGCTCTGTTTGTTGTACATCAAGCCATCGTGAGCTAGGAACACACATGCAGCATGAGAGAGACGATCAAAATCCCCCTCAGCGCGTATGTTTGTGTTTGTGTGTTTAGGGCTGTCTCGGTGGCTCCCTTGCTCTTTTGTCTGATGCAGTCGTCACATCAGAGCTCCGGCAGCACCAGCAGTAAGCCGCCATCGGTACACACAGCGAAGTGCACATGTATCTATTTCTCTTCATGGTGTCTCGCGTCGATGGTTTTTGTTTGTGGCGGACCTTCAATGGCAGTGAGCTGGCCAAGACTGCCGACCGGCTCATGCAAATAAGGGAGGGCATGAAGATTGGAAGTGATGACGCCACTGCCTCGGGTGTACGCAATGTATACCCAAGAGTGGAACAGGTTTGCATATGTATGCATGTGTGTGTTGCAGGTCGAAGTTGAAGAAGAGAGTGAAGGCCCAGTACTCCCATTGCAGACCCTTCTGGATGGCCTCGAGAGACAGGCAAGATTGATTGCACCCATCGGATGGGCATGACTTTCTTCCACATTGTCATTCCATTGCCACTGTGTTCAGAGCCGTGTCTCACCCTCAGCAGCTACTTGCTCATCAGCAGTGCCCTCAGCACACAACACAGTTGGCGACGGTGGTAATGCTCACAACAACAGGGCCCCGCCTGCCCTGCTCCACATCCTGCCTGCGTGAAGCCTTGCTGCCTGTCTGTGTGTGATCAAACGGCGATTTCCCTGTGATTGCAGACGTGCCGAGTTTGAATGACTCCGAGATACGAAAGGTGCAACCCTGAATCCATGGGTCATAGCTAGCACCTATGCATGCAATGTTTCCTTCGTTTCTCTGTGTGAGCGTGCAGAATGTGCGTACGCTGCGTCGTGTGCGCCGGCAGCTGGAGTGCGATGCCCAGGGGAGGAGTCTCCAGGTGCGGGTGACGCATCGGCACATCATCACCGGCTCAGCTTCTGGTCGTGTCTCCTGGCAGGAGGGTCTATCAGACCCGCATTATGAGGTCGATGCCGTTGATGGCGACGTAGCAGAGCTGAAACGAGTGCCAGGCAAATCCGGTGGGGTCAGGCAGAACCAAGTATTCCTTCTTTCCATTGATGAGCGCGTTTACGGTCGCCTCAGTTACCTATTTGGCGGCCTTGTGCAATCGCTGCCCCCCCAGAACATTCAGTAGGTTACCTGCAAAGGTGTCCGTGGACACATCCGTCCTATATCCATGTGTCGGTCCATTCAGTGCCTTGGCTGCTCGGCTGAATCTGCCAGCTTGCCGCCTCAAATGTCGCTCAAAGGTAAGCCTGTGTCGATTTATACAGGGGTCCATATGGCGATTTGTTTTTTGGGTCGATGCAGTCCCCTTTTGTCGTCGATGCTACACCTAAGGGGTCGAGGGCCAAGCACAGAGACCTCTACAATATACGTAGGCGGCATGCACGCTAGTACACAGTGGTTGATCTTGTACAATTTGTCCCTCAGAGCAGCATGAAACTGACTGCTCAGATGTGCGTCGTAGTCACGCACCGCCCCCTGCCAGCAGTCTTAGCCGGGCGTCGTCGATTCGAGATTCTTCGGCTTGCGACAGTGGCAGCGCCAGCAGCTACGACAGACAAGCCAGGCCGAGACACCAAGGCTGGTGGGCGGATGAGCTGGTCCGGAGCAAGGCGAGGGATTTATGGCCAAGAAGACTCGGTGAGGACGAAAGGATCGATGCAAACTCAAGGGCTTGTCAGAGTCATAGTGCGCCTCGCCTTGTGTACAGGTCATGGTCTTAGTCAGGATGCATCGGCGATGCTTTATCGGCTCGATGAGTCCTACGGCATCCACAATAGGCAGCGGGCTCCATGGGAAGGGCCGGGCCGCGTCAAAAAGACTAACAAGTGCCGTGAAGCGAGAGAGAATCCGCCCCCTTCCACCATCCCCGCACCGCCAGCTGCATCCATCGCGCCTTGTCATGCACTAGATGCCAGACAGAGCGGGTGCAAAAGAGGATGGGGCCATCAGTAGAGGCTGAGAGGTCAAGGGTGGGACACGGGAGAGGGGCTTGGAGCATAAAGGGCGGGAGTGATGACGACCCTCGGTTGGTGGATGCTGTCTGTCTCAAATTTTGATGCATCTCCACTGTGGTTGGCTGTGTGTGGAAGACGGTGAATAGGCCATGTCTTCAGGGCACGGAGACACACCCATCAATGACACCGTTAGTCCTTAATGACGTGTCTGTCGCTCAGACATTTGATGTCACATCATTCTGCTGGCTAGCTAAATAATTAGCTGGTCAGTCAGAAGAGGCTGAAGTACACCGCATACGACCCCCGTGCATCTGCAGCACACCACAAGAGCACACGCACGATACGTACGCGGGCCATGGTGTATCCATGCGCGTGCGGATGTGCGTGTGTATGTCACACGCACCGCACCTTGTAGGATCGAAGAAAGCAATTTCCATTGACCGCTCGCCACTGTCGATGTGTCTCCACCCGCGTCTCTTGCGAGTGTGATGCGTGAGACGACGTGGGGCGGCCTCACAGATGGGAACACCAAATCACAGGCCGATGAGCCCTGTCTCACCCAATCGCACCTGAGCAACATCACAATAGTCATTCCTCACTGTGTGAGTTGCTGAGCATCCCTCGGTTACTCACCGGTTGTCAAGGACGGCGCTGATAAGCTCCTCGATGGTGGCTCTAGACCAAGACGCTGACTGCATGCAGAACACACATCCATCACACACAGGCCGGAGACATACACTGACACATCCTTACATCATATTCGATCTCCAGCGGCGCTGTTGTCGGCGGAATTTCGTCCCAGCCCCTGCACTGCACACGCAGCCGTACACCATTCCTCAGCCCATGATGGGCAGGGGTCCTTCTCGGCTCCTTTTGGATGCGCAGCCTGCGTTGCCTTTCGCTATCCGTGTCAGGAGCGACAGCACCACTCCCAATCCGCGCGTCTGCGGCCCGTGCGCACTGTTCTCTCCTCTGCTGCTGGCTGCCTTGCCTCGGCGTGTGATGGAGAATGTTGGGCAGGGGCTGGTGGTCCAGCTGCCGAGCTATCTCAGAACGCACTTCCACTATCACCCCTGCATACACGCCATGCATCGATCCATCCATCCATCCAACACGTGCAGACACGGACACACAAAACGAAGATGGCTCGATTTTCTTAGGTTGCTTACCCCCTCGTATGACACGCTTCGGTAGCCGCTGCAGAAATTGATCCTGAAGAGCAAAGCGTACGCGCCAAGTTTAAAACTCTCCTGTTTCTGTGAGCAAATTACCTTGTTGGATTTGTTAGTGACTCGTCTGAGTCCCTGGTCGATGTGCGGCTGCTGCTGACGCTCGATGAGTGGGGCTACCTCAGGGAACCTGCGCCATTGATCACCATAACACACTCGCGAGCCGGCCGTGTCGCGCAAGTTCGCAGTGACTGCAGAAGCGTCGGGGCGGTACTCTGTCAGCGTCTTGTCTATGGGAGCAAGGGCAACTGATACACAAGATGGGCGTGAAGGATATGTCATGCGACGTACGTCTGCGTATTGTGTCGTGAGGTTCTTGGTGGCGTCCTCACCTCCTTCAGGATACGTCTGCTGCAGCACAGATGGGAAGTAGCCCTCCAGTATGTCTCGCAGGATCTGCTGACTCTGCGGATGGGAATACGGGTAGAACGGCCGGTGCAAAGGATCCAGATGAAGACCATTCGAGTAGAAGATGAGAGGAAGTGAGGGGCCAGCAGCAGCAGGCTTGGGTGAGTGGCGGAGACGCATGATGCCGTAGGACTGCACAAAGAGATCGGATTCTTCTCTATCGTCTGCTGCATCTGCTGGCTCATCCTCGCCTGCATACAAAGGAGACACGTCAGTGGGGAGACCGACAGCCAGCTCTCATTGCAAGCGCTGACGCACCCACCGGCCATGAGGTTGAGCTCAGCCACCGCCCGCTGTATTCTGTTGAAGTCGACCAGCGCATGCTCGTGAGCCGATGAGCGCTCCTCATGAATTGGTGATAGCAGCACATCCGAAACTCCAGCAGCAGCAGCACCCTCGTTATCCAGTGGCTGCAGGGGGCCGATATGTCTTGGCGGATACCACCGTTTGCCGCCCATGTATGATGGCGGTGCGTGAGGTTTCTCCCTAGGCCCCCGTGCAGACAGGGGCGGGGGGAAGGGTGCAGCGGGGGCGGGCGTGTCGCTGTTTTCCGGAGGGTTGGAGACGCATCGGTTCAGGTGGAGACGCCGATGACGCTGAACGGGGTGGCCCTTATCCAACAACGAAGGAGGACGGAACCTGAGAGGAGCAGCAAATGATTGAGACAGCATGCAGTATCCACCGCTTGTTCCCCGAAAGGAGCGAGTATCGTCTCACCTTTGGTCTCTTCCTTCACGTTCGGTCTGTTTGAGGTCCTGCAGCGCCCTTTCAGCATCAAACTCCCCCTGATACCCAAGGCTGGCGATGGACAGCTCATCTGCTGCCCTTAGATCGGTGTCTCGCCCGCCTTCATTCCATGTCACTCCATAGGATGCCAAGTACTTGCGCATAATTGCCAGCTGCACATCAGAGAGATGGTTGGGTGTCCCATAGTCCGGGAACGGAGGCGTCCCTCACCTGTGTACCTCATTCTTCAGCTGTTTCTTCTCTTCCAAATACTTGTACGCCAAACGGACCGCACCGCCATCATCCCTCTCAACATTTGCATCGGTTGCTACGGAACCGTCAAACATGTCTTCACGGAATCGCTCCCTCTCGCACATCGCCGCGAGGTCCTTCTCCTGCACCATGCAAGAAGGGTTGACCACAAGCAAAATTGACGGTTCTCATCCACACCTTGTCCGCCAGCCTTGTCTTCAGTTCGGCATTTTCTTTTTCCACGAGTCTGAGTCTCTTGACCACGCTCGCGAACACATCGCCGTCACCAGCCCCCTTGAGAGGACCGTCGGCACGCCCAGGCCGTACATGCTGGGGCGGCGATGGGGGGCTGTCAATCGCCTTGTCTCTCTTATTGACTCCCCGAGCCTTGGACCCATGCTCGCTGACGACTCCCCCTCCCTTGTCTTGCGGTCGTCGGCTGTCAGCAGCCGTGGGGTTGGCCGGTCGTGATCTGAGCTTCGGGGGCGGCTTTGTGTGCTGCTGGACGAGTCGCCGCCTCAGCTCCAGCTTCTGTGGTGTAACGGCAGATGTAGGCAGCTTCGTTGGATAGGACTGCACCCGGGAGAGGTCATGCTGAAGGTCCCTGAAAGCATGAATGTGCAACGTTTGTGCATTGTTGCCGTCTCTTCTTCCTTGCTTGCCTGAATATGTGTCTTGACACGAGGGTGTCAAGTTGAAGGTCGGGTGGGGAAGGGATGCTTGCTGAATGCTCGCTCCCATCCTCTGAAGTGCGCAACACGTCTGAGTACAGAGCCCCCGCCACAGTACATTGGCAAGCGATCATGATCCTTAGTTAAGTGATGGATTTGGGGGTACCACATGAGCCTTGTTGGCGCAGTGGATCCCTCACAGGTTCAGGCTCCATCCAACGGAGACGACAAGACGCTGGGGGCCGCGAGCTTAAGCATTGCAAAGGCCCCCATTGCAAGGCGTCTGTCAGGCGTGCTTCCCCCTGGCGGCGGCAGCCGGCATGTCGTTTGATGACGAGTACCGTCTGTGTTTCTTCGCGTCGAGCGAGGAGGTCCAGTCAGCGCAGACGAGAGCCCTCATCCCCCTGCATCCCTTCGCCAAGAGCCGCGACCGCACACAGCCCATCGAGGTCCCCGAGCAGCTCACGTCCAAATCATCGCTTCCCTCATTCAAGACCGATGTGGTAGTCTCCTCCCGAGGCACACAGGCGGCTCACGGCAAAGCGGAGGAGACGGTGTCGGTGAGAGTGTTCGACTACAGAGCGTGGAGAGAAGAAGAGGTCGCTGAGTCAGATGCAACCCGTTCGGTGCAGGCAGGAGTCGAGTCAGAGGGTGCCTCTGCGGCGGCCCTTGACGTGGGTGGGAGAGTGGGGAGGCAGAACTACCCTGTCCTGAGAGTCACCGAGGCGCTAGCATTCATCCACTCATCGCCTGTTGACTACTGCCGGATTCGCGACAAGTGGGTGCCTATGCTGCGAGGAATGGGGCTGACGGTCCCTGTGATGCTCGTGAGGCTCGTGGACACCCACGCCGCTATGTCGAAGGGTCAGCCAGCCGACGACGAGACCATTCGCCACTTGCTGAGGGAGATTGGTGCACAGGGATACCTGGAGTGCTGTGTGTCACCGAGCGAGGCACCTGCGGCCGGTGGGGGCATGACACCAGCGACAACTATGGGGGACGTACTCAGGAAGATGGCAGAGCTGGCACGTGGACACCGACATGCACTTGAGCAGGAGAAGAGACAGAGGTAGGATCGTACACACAGGGACATCCGTCATGGAAGCCGCTGATCGCTAGTGCGATGATGATTAATCAGGTTAGCGGCTCGTGAACTTGAGGACCAGCGGCTAGAGCAGCTGCAGCGAGACTTCGACCGCCGGCCGCCGTCTGCCGTGGATGGCACATCCGGCCTTCTGAGGGTGAGCTCCGTTCTAAAGAGTGTCTCTACGCACAAGTCCCCCCCCCCCTCCCATAAATTCTTTTGTCGTTGTTCCATGCAGATCGACCGTCTGAAGAATTTGGATGAAATGGTGGTGATGGAGGCCGATGAGACACCGCTGACCGTGGCCGACATTCCATCCCGGCTGTCACTGCTTGGACCGACACCCGACGGATCGCACGCCTATCTCAGGGTGGGTAGGTGGGGGAAGGGGGGAGTCAGTAAGTCATGCACATACACGACTATCCTTCGTTTGTGTGGCTTTCAGGCTGACCTTGGTGATATGGGGTTGACGACAATCGATCCCCTGGAGGCCTTCATCAACCTGCAGTACGTCGATGTCTCGCACAATCGGCTCAGGTGGGTACGTCAGGAAGGCAGGTGGCTGTGTGCCTTTTGGACTGACTGACTCGCGTCTCTTGCGCGTGGGCGGCGTGTTGGCATCAGGTCGCTCTGCTCGCTGTATCCGCTTGTACGTCTGCGTCACGTCAATGCGAGCCACAACATGTTGCGGCGCTCTATCGGGTTTCATTTCTCACAGCGGCTGGAGGTGGTCGACCTCTCATATAACTACATCACGGCCATTGGCGACTTCTCCAGCCACAGATTCCTCAGGTGACAGACAGAGACACGGAAAGCAAACGACACACATGTGGCCAGGTCGGCCTCTCAGTATGTATGTATGGCGGTTCATGGCTTCTCTGTCTGTGTCTGTCCAGAGAGCTGAATCTTCGCGGGAATATGATCTCTGCCATCTCTGAGGGCCTGGCCGCCAACAAGGGCCTCACAGCACTCGACCTCTCAGGTGCACGCGACCACGGATGAACCCACCAAATGTCTGTCCGTGCGTGCGTGGCTCGTTTGCATCTTCCCCTCCCTCGTGTCATTTAATGGCAGAGAACCAGCTGCGTTACGTTGACAATTTGGATGATCTGAACATCGAGGAGCTGCACGTGAGCGGCAACCAGCTGGTCAGCCTGGCGGGTGGTGCTGAGGGCGGGGCAGCTGAGGGGAAGGGAGGTGTCTGCCGGCTGACCAAGCTGCGTGAGCTCAATGTCCGCGACAACATGCTCGACTCGGTAGAGGGGCTTGGCAGCCAACACGCACAACTCATCACCCTGCACCTCTGCAACAACCGTTTCACGCATCCCGCCCAAGTGAGCGAGAATAGACAACGAGCCAGCCAGAGACACCTTTGTCTCTCCGTCATCGCCTTAAATGTGTATGCACAGCTGGAGCTATTGGCGAAGCTACCATTGCTGACCGATTTGTTCCTGACCCCAATGGCGATAGAGAATGTGCCAGCGTACCGCATGCAGGTCATTCATCGGCTGCCGCACCTCCGGTGGCTGGACTGCAGTGCGGTGAGCAGCGAGGAGAAGGTCAAGACCGCCATCGTCTACGGTGACAAGGAGGACATCGAGGCTCGTCAACATATCTTTCACACGCTGATTCCCGGAGAGCCATTCACCGACTGGTCAGCACATCACACGAGCGCTAGTCTTGCATGGGTGTCTCTCTTCCATCTTTCTGTGTGTGTGTGTGTGTGTGTGTAGGCGGTTGTTGACGGAAGAAATGATGGAGGAGCTGGAGCGCCAGACGGCCACAGGTCCACCGGCATCGGCACTTCACCATAAGCACACTGAGGCCGCCGAGAGGAACCAAAGTTCATCCGACGAGCTGTGGGGAGAGATAGAGAGCAGCATCGTCATGCCCCCCGCACCTGGCGCCTCTGTCGCCATGCCGCCCGCACCGGCCGCAGGGGTAGCCATGCCGGCTGTTGCCGGCAGTGTGTTCCTGCCGAAAGCGCCCAATGTCAGCATGGCCATGCCGACAGCAGCCGACAGTATGTTCTTTCCGAGCGCGCCCAACGTGAGTGCTGCGATGCCTGCTGCACCGGCAGGGAGCGTGGTGGTGCCGCAGGCCCCTGCCGGCAGTGTGTATCTACCGCAGGCACCTAATGTCAGCTTGCTGATCGACCAGTGAGGATTCGTTCATGTCTCCACACGGACAATGCACGTGTCAGATCTCAAAAGCTGTGCATGCTGGACTGGGCTGCTGTCGCATTCGTTGCTGGCCCTCTCTGTCGCTTTGTGTGGTGCATTGCATTCATTGCCGGACCGCATTGTCCACTACGATGACGGACTTGTGCGTGTGAAGGGTCTGCATGTACGTATCTTCAACGAGCGACAAATACACACAACATACATACATACATACATGGATTGGACTACGTTTCGCAACCCAACATGTATCGGCCTCCCTCCCTGCCTTGCTGCGATCGGAGCCCAGGCAGCAATGAATGAATGCACCTAGGTGAGTCAAGCAAGCTGCCCAGTCAGTCAAGCCAAAGGAAAGGCAACAGACACGTACGGCAGAGGGACAGACGAACAGCACTCATCGATGGGTAACCAGGTCTCACGCACACCAGTCAGTGTGACTCTGCCATCTGCCTTTGCACCCTCAGCTGTTTGCCCAACAGCGACGTCAGCTGACGCTGCAACTTGTCAATCTGCACACACACACACAGAGACACCACACACACACACACACACACACAGAAGAGAGAGAGAGACGCACGACGCACAGACAGAGAGACATGTATGCGATCGATCGATCGACTCCTGGAGAGACACGACACGAGATTTTCACCTGTTGTTTGAGCTGTCTGTTCTCCCCCCGCAGCTTGTCAAGCTCCTTGTTGGCTTCGTGTGTCTTGACTTGGGCATCCCTGGTCTTGTTGTGGTCCGCAGTGATCTGCATTTCCTTGCGCTTCAGCACTTCTCCCACCGTCTTGAGGATCTCAGTGGGCTTGAAGCGTTTGTCTAGGTCGGCATTGGGGAAGAAGTGGCGATACAAAGAATTGGCGTACACTATCACCTCTGAATACATACATGCCCATAAATATAACAGACAGACAGACACGTGCAAAGTGGCCGGCCATTTGGCGTCTGTCTCTGTCTGCCTTCCTGACCGACCCTGCAGCTGCTGTGTGTTCTGTGACCTCTCCGACACCGTCAGCAGCTGATGGACTGCCTGCAGTGCTGCCAGGGGATCGTAAGCGTTGGGCCTGAAGTCCCTCACAGCAATGTCCAGGGGCTTCTCCAGCAGCACATCAGCTGTGATGCCCTCCAGCGGTCGAGGCAAAGACAGCTCCTCCAAGTGCCGCTGGAAGTCCTTCATCGCTATCACCAAGATCTTCTCTCTCGGGTGGTAGTGGGGCAAGGCAGGCTTGCTGCCGGCATGAGCATGCGGCTGGGAGGGCGAGATGGGCCTGGCACTGTTCTGAGACGAGGGGCGTGCCGAAGAGAGGGGGCTGGGGGGAGAGGCCTTTCCTCCTGGCCCTTCTGTGGCCTGGGCTGCCTCTACAGGCGCGGGTGCTGCTGTGCGTGTGAATATTGGCCTGGCAGTCATCGGACCCACGGGCGCGAAGTAGGTCTCGTCCACCTTCCGTTTGTCCGGCAAGTAATCAAAAATCTTGCCGGCGTCCGCGGCACCGATTTTGAACTTCTGCAGCTGCGTCGCGAAGTCATCCTTGTGAAGCGATTCGATCACGGGGATGTTGTAAGCTGTGAAGGCCGCCGCAATGGAGCCGTGCCTATCGAGAAGGGACACAATCCGCAAACACCCATGGATTCGTGCATCCATGCGGCTGCCAGAATACACAGATTTCTCTATGTCTCATTAATTACTTGTAGATGAGATTCGACTTGAGGTCCTGCAGTATGATGGAGGGTTCCTTCTTGATTCGCCCCCACTGCGCCTTCTTGGCCCAGAAAGAGAGCATCCACCAGCAATAGTCACTCAGCTTCAGATACTGCTCCAGTAGATCCTTATGCCTTAGAGACTTGGCGCTCTCGCGCTCCTCGGCACTCTCGAGCTCTTGCCGCTGCTTCTCAATGACCTCGTATGACGCCACGAGTCTGTCTTGCATGTAGCCGGTGGCCTTGCGGTGCTGCTTCTGCAGGGCCTGACGCGCCGCCTCTACCTGCTCCTTCTCCTCATCCATGCTGAAGGGGTAAGGTGAGAGGGGAACGAAAGGGTGCAACATAACCAGACAATAAGCAACTTACATCCCGGTCTGTAACGGACCAACCTGTGTATTTGCTGGAGCATGTTGAATTGGTTTCGTTCCAATTCGTCGATGCGACTCATGACTTCTTGAGGTGTTTGCAGCTTCAGCTCCGTTGCCAGCTTACATACAAGAGCCGAGCCCACACACAGACAGACAGAGAGACATGCACCAGCGCTCAGCTAGCTCATATGTCTCTTCCTTCTTCGATACCTCATTGAATAGAGGCTTGAGGACCGCCACCTCATGCAGCGATTTCTCTGTCTCGAGCCGCCGGTCAGATAGGCCCTGCACACGCCGCTTCAGCACCGTTACATGGGCTCGCCACTGCGAGATCTCCTCGTCTTTCTCAGTCAGGGTTCGCTTGAGGTCGTCTGCCTGCCGCTCCCACTGCTTGGCCAGCACCCGGGCGGCATCGAGGTCCTGCAGAAGCCTCGTCTTCTCGGCCTCCCACCTCTGCAGCTCCTCGCGCATTCCTTCTTCCGTCAGATTGGCCATGCACGTCTGTCTGTAGGTGGCTCGAGACGTGATGGCACGGTCCATCCCAATCCGATGGGCCGCTCCCTTGCCCAGAGATGTCCACGGCCTCTTATCCGCCCCGAGGTTCTTGAGATCCCGCTGCCGCCACTTGGCCGTCTCAGCATCTTCTGTTGTCTTCCCGCCTGGGTCGTCTGAGTGGACGGCGCGGCGACTGTCTCCAAGCTGGTGCAGCAGCATGACTCCGCCCCCATTCTCGTCGGCAAGCCCCTCTGTTGCCCGTGATAGGAAGGCCTCGTGGAACTGCTGTCTTCTTGGCTGGGCCGTGGCCGGTCTTGGCTGCAGCAGCGGATGTGAGCTGTGTCTTCGCATCTTGTCCTCGTGCGCCTCCACCGCAGACGGGTGTTGGCGGCCGCGAGCACGGCTCTTGACGTCCTCTTCATGGCGCCTCTTTTGGGGCTCGTGGCTCGTGCGCCACGCTGACCACAAATCCGCCATCACCTGCACTTGCATCTGAGAAACAACAAACAGGCCGGTGGCTTCGGTGCCGTGTAACGAACGACAAAGGATCGCGGGATGCAATGCGGGTCGGATCTGCTGTTTTTGGTATTGGAATCTCTGTTTCCGTGGCCTCGTTGAGTGCATCTGCTTTCCCAAACTTCCTCGACAAGACGACGACATTCAACAACAACAGGCGGTCCGTCCCTTTTAGTCGTCTCGTTGACAAGACCCCCGCACACTGCCGCCGACCCCTCTTCTGCGCCGCTGCACCACAAGCATTCGCATCCGAGATCGAGCTGCCACAGATCAAGATGAAGCCAGGACAGCTTGTGCAGAAGCCGCTGACCATCGACTCGGCGCAGGGCAACGCTGTGGCGCTGTCTGACATCCTGCAGAAGGAGGTGCCGCTGCACAAGGTGCCAGCTGGCCTACTCTCGCTCTGCGCGATTGAGCCTGGCCTCTCCCTCGGGGTCATTGGTGGTATGGATGGCGGGCCCTCAGCAGTTGAAACGGCCCTCAGCCGGCTGACACAAGGCCTGGGCAACAACAGGGAGGAGGCCATCGTCAGGGCGAGCGTCCTTGGGAAGTCTCTTGCCGTCCCAGTGCGGGACGGTGCGATAGATCTGGCGGCGTCACAGGAGGTTTATTTGGTGGACAACAACAGCAAGGTGTCGGGACAGCGGACCATCGTCGCGACGCTTGTGCCTGGGGTTGACTCGAAAGCCACGTCACTGCCTGCACCATCTCGCGGATGCCACATCATCACTCGCAAGGTCAGTAAGTTAGTTAAGTGCAGTAGGAGGTGGAGGCCGACTAATTGGCTGTATGTGTGTCATGCATGTGATGTGTTGGGGTGCAGGTGACGCATTTGAGTGACTCGAGTGGCGGGGATTTTGGTCTGATGAACGTGTGCGCCAAGCACAGCGGGTGCTCTCTCACCATCAACGAGAACGCCGATGCCGACGTCAGGTAAGGTATGCAGTCAGTCATGGAATGTATGTATGGGTGTGCATGTGATTTGATCTGTTGTTGCCTGTTGTCTGTCTGTTTGTTCAGGACTGACTTGGAGGCGGCCTTCAATCGACTCGTGCCTGAGAAGAAGGGCGACAGCACCCGACACGCAAACATCAAGTCCACACTGGGTGAGGGGAGGGGAGCGAGGGCATCAGCACGCACACGCGGCCATCCTCTCTGCGTGTGTTGTGTGTTCCATCCATCCATCCATCCATCCAGTTGGTCCAAGCATCACGGTGCCCTACGACAGCCGAGGCAGCCCACAGCTCGGCACCTGGCAGGGCGTCTACCTGAATGAACATGCCAGCCCACACGACCACGACGACCGCTCCCGCAGTATCACCGTGACGCGGCTGCCCTCGTCGGCCGTCGCTGTCCAGAAGACCATCAGAGTGACTGCACCGTCAAGGGGCTGCCACGCCATCACCGACAAGGTTCGGGCCGCGATCGATGACCAACTCAGGAAATGTACCGTGGGCGTCGTCCATGTGTTTATCAAGGTGAGAGAGAAGGGACCTACCAGAGGGGGCTGGGGAAGGGGGCAGCACGCGCATCTTACTTACCTGTCTGCCTGTTTGTCGGTCATTTCGTTGCATCGGTCAGCACACGTCTGCGAGTTTGACGTTCAATGACGGCATCGATGCGGTGCAGACGGGCCGACTGCTCGAGAAGGCCCTCAACCACATCGTGCCTGAGAAATGGCATCATGAGTTCTTTCAACACACGCTCGAGGGACCCGATGACATGACAGGTCAGACAGACATTCAGTGAGTCGGCCCTTTCCTCCAGCCAGGACGGCGTCTGCATTAATGTGCTTGTGGCTGCCTGTCTGCCTGCAGGTCACGTCAAGAGCACTTTGTTCACTGCTGGCTGCATGCTGCCGGTTGCGGACGGCGACATCAACATCGGTGGCAACGAGGTGTGATGGCGGATGTGTGTATGTAAAAAAAGGTGACGTGGGGCTGTGTCGGTGTGTGTGTGTTCAGGTTTACCTGTGTGAACACAGGAACACTGGCGGCTGGGGCGGGGGACACAACAGATCCATTGTAATCACCCTCATTGGACAAGCCTGAGTGAGTGAGGGACCGAGCAGACGCTCACGTTGGTGTGTTTCATGTATGGCCTTTGCGCGAATGTTTCTGTGTTGTTGTCTTCATCCATCCATCCATGCATTATTTATTGATGAGACCCCTGTAAGTAAGTGCGTATATGTATCTAGCCTTGTTGAATCGATCAAGCCAAGAAAGCACCGCACCGCACCGCCCCCATCATATGATGCATGTATGTCTCTACCTACAACCAACCATCCCACACCAGGTAGGCAACGCAACGCCTATACACATCCAACCCACATCGATGTACTCGCACAGCCATCCCTCTCTCACACTGGTTGGTCTATGTCTCCTCCGCTGCTGCTGGTGCGTGTGAGGGCTTCTCAAACTTGGCCTGTATCCATATGCGCCGCATCCGCTGCTCCGTCTTGCGGTTGACGATCTCACGCATGTGATACCTGATCGCATCACCACACATACATAAGCCCCACGACAACGCATGGACCGATAGCCAGTTTGCTGTGGGGTGTCGCTTTTGCTCCCACCGGTTTTCAAGCTCGACGAGGCCGCAGCCACAGAAGATCTCACGCAGCTCCTCTGCACCAGACAGGCAGACAAGACAGATAAACCAGACCCATGACTAAGTCCTGTGCCTGTCGAAGTCTCACTCACCGACAGTGAAATAGTAGGTGCGTGTGCCGTCCCATCTGACATAGAAGTTCTCTTCGATCTTGCACTTCCTCTGCGCCGCAAACCGCAGCTGAGCCATATCGTAACGACCGTAGTCGCGCAGCATCAACACGCCGCCGGGACGCAACACCTGCACACATACACAAATGAGCCGACAGAAAGGGCAATCAGACAGACAGGAACACAGAGACCATCTTCGTGGCTGACGTACTCTGCTGATTCTTTGCGCCACATCTCTGAAGTGCGCAGGGGCCAAAGCCGAGAGGACAAACAGCAGGAGGGCAAAGTCGGCTGAGCCGCTGGGGCACACATCCTCGGGAGGATCACCCTGACGGACAGCAAATAGAACCAAGGACACGACACACCCCGCTTCAGCCAGCATCCATCACATATGCATGCATCCTGGCTGCCTCGTCTCGCTTGCCTTGGTGATGTCATGCACAAACCCATGCACCAGCTCGCCAACCTCCATCGGGATGGACTCAATGTTCCTATCCTGCTGTCCTTGTGCCGCTGCCATTTCCTCATCGTCTGAGGAGGTGGGCTGGGACGGCTGGAGAGGAGAGGGCGGCTCGGGGGCCGCGGCAGACTGCTCACCGGGCGGACCGGTTGTTTCTTCACTGTCTGCATTCAGGTCCTTCAGGTTGACCGTCCTCCCCCTGTTGGCCAGCACTCTCCGCCACTTGTTCTGATGAAGGAGAGAATGGCTGGCTGATGATGACTCGTGCACAGCCACGTCGTTGAAACCTTTCGCTCACATTGAGGAAATCAATAGCTCGTTTGGAGATGTCGAACCCGATGGCCCGCAAGTGGGGATTCTCTGGACAAAGACACCATACGAACAGGAGGCGCAGCCACATGCATCACAGGCGGTCTGATCAGCTTGTCAATCTACTGATCAGCAGCGGCACTACGGCGTTGCCCACTCCACAGCCGAAATCAACCAGTACAGGCCGGCAGTCGCTCTGGGCATCCGAGCTGGTTGTGTCGCCATCATCAGCTTCCCGCTGTGCGAGTGTCCTGGCCTCCCTCCCCGCCCGGCAGCTGTGGGCGCTGAGCTCGGTGAACTCCTTGGACAAATAGTGCCTGCCAGACCGATACAGGGCGGCAAACACAATGGCACACAGTTACATCGTGTGTAGCACTTCGCTAGCCCACCTGTCTTTGAATGCGTTGGTGGTGTTTCTCTTGTAGAAGATGTCCCAGTTCCGCCCCGCTTCACGCTCGTACTTGTCTGAAGGAAATTGCAAAGCATTCCGTGGCGTACAAGTCGCTGCTGAAACAGCAGGCAAAAAACCTTTGTGGAGCTCGGACACTGGCTTGTTGTCCCCATCGAGGATGCTCTGGGCTTCTCTCTGAGATGCTTTCGTCAACACATACGGAGAAACTGCAGACAGACAGACAGACAGACACGCCACACACAGTCAGATGCGTCGAGATCTTCCGAGATCTACCATTGTCTGCCTTGAAGCCGATGCTTCCCACCGGTCCTGCATCATCGAAATGAGGTTCTTCCTCCGCCATTCCTCACCGCACGGAACTGAAGCTCGCACTCATCGCCAGAAGATTCAACCCGATCCACGCTACTTGGCGATGAAGTGACGATGTCACTTCTTCCTGCCCGTCCTCGAGTCGAGGCGCGGCAGGGATCCGCCGACGACGCGCACCCGAACGGAGTCGTCTTTCGAGCGGAGTCGAGGGGTTCCCATCCTGCAACTGACCCGTATCTAGCGGATGGAGCTTCCGGCGCCGAGGGGGGACGGCTCTGCGGCGTGGGGGAGGCCCGGGGTGGCGCATCTCAGGAGCGACTCGGCCAGATCTACGACTTAGTCCAGCAAACGACTCGTATTCAGCGGCCGGCCGTGGGTGTCGGTCTGGAGGCCTCGTGAGTGTGTTCCTTGGGTTCCTCTGTGCATGTGGAGCGTGCGTGGGTGATTCCTGTTGCGTGTCGTCGTTTGATTGTGCGTGAAAGACATGGGACTTGGCCGTCAGGCCGCTTAGGACATTCCGTGAAACCGCTCTCTCGCCAGAAGATGCGGATCTCTGTGTTGCTGGTTGCAGTACTGGAGATCGCCGCTGCCGCTGGCAAGGCAGCATTCATCTTGCCAACGCATAGCCGGCCACAGAGGCCGCCTCGGACATCTGTGAGAGCAGCATGGGACGGAGTGGACAGATTCAAGTCACTGATCAGCAGCATCGGCGGTAACGGCGAGGAGCAAACCGACGTGTTGGTGGTTGGAGGCGGGCTGACTGGGTGCAGCCTGGGGTGGAGTCTGTTCAAGAAGGGAGCAGATGTGCTGGTGACTGAGGCGCGTGACAAGGTGGGCGGCAACATCATCTCGAGGACGGATGGCAAGTTCATATGGGAGGAGGGACCCAACACCTTCCAGCCCAACGATGCCATCCTCCGACTCGCTACCGATGTCGGCTTGAAAGACCAACTCGTACTCGCCGGTCAGCCAACCACTGCAAGCAGCCAGACGGGTGCTCACGACTGAATGCACTTTGAATGGGTCCTGCCTGTCCTGTGCGTGTGTGCAGATGGCTCGCAGCCACGGTGGGTGTTTTGGGAGGAGGAGCTGTACAAGCTCCCCGGCGGTCTGGGTGACCTGCCCACATTTAATCTTCTCTCTTGGCCCGGCAAGATCCGGGCTGGCCTCGGTGCACTGGGATTCGTACCTCCGAAACCGACAGAGTGAGTCAACACGCATGGGAGGACGGGCACATGAGAGAGAACGAAACATTACTTACCTGGTGTGCGCTGTGTAGGGAGGAGTCCATAAGGGAGTTTGTGTCGCGTCATTTGGGTGAGGAGGCGTTCATGAAGCTCATCGACCCGTTCGTGTCGGGAGTGTACGCGGGCGACCCCACAAACCTGTCAATGAGGTGACAAGTGCATGGACTCGCACGCCTGTCGGCTCTCATCTCCTTGTGGCTCGTGCGGGTACGTGTCAGGGCTGCTCTGAAGAGGATCTACAATCTGCAGGAGATGGGTGGCCCGGGTCTTCTTGATGGAGCCATCCTGCGGCTCAGGCAGCGGGCACAGGAGAGAAAGGAGAATCCCCCCGACGCAGATCTTCCGGAGGTCAAACCGGGACAACTGGGCTCTTTCCGAGACGTAAGTCGTATCATGTGCGCAGCAGCACTTGTGTACAGCCCGAAGTGTCGCCTCTCCGTCATACATCAGGGACTGAAGATGCTCTGTGAGGCGGTTGAGAAGAGGATGGGCCCTCAGAGGGTCCGCACCAGCTGGACTGTTGACAAGATAGAGAGGCTGCCCGACGGCGGCTTCCGGGCCATCTTCAACACCCCTTTCGGCACAAGGATCGTCAACGCCAAGGCCCTCGCTGTCACCACACCTGCAGCAGCCACAGCCAAGTGAGCTGACGAGTCACAGAGTCTCGAAAGCATCCGTCCGTGAGCAGACAGACATTCCCTCTCCTTTGGATATGTATCTCATGCTCAGGCTGCTGAAGGACATGGTGCCACAAGTGGAGCGGTATGAGGAGATCGCCTACCCGCCGGTGGCTGCAGTGGCTCTTGCGTACCCATCATCGTCGATGCGGCGGCGGTTCTACGGGTTCGGCCACCTCATCCCGAGGGCGAACAAGATCCGGACGCTGGGCACGATATGGACGAGCAGCCTCTTCCCCTACAGGAGCCCCGATGGCATGGAGCTCACCAACTCGTACATCGGCGGGCGGCAAGACGAAGACATCAACAAACTCACACCCAAACAAATCGCCGAACAGGTCACGATGCAACAGACAGACACGTTGCACCTGTCTCCCCATACATCTGTGTGTGTGTGGTTGTAGGTGCATCAAGACATCAAGAGGATTCTGTTGAAGGATGACGCGCCTCCGCCGCGAGTGCTGGGCGTCAAGGTGTGGCCCCGCGCCATCCCGCAATTCGAGAAGGGCCACCTGGAGCTGCTCGCCGAGGCCGAAGAGGGGATCGCCCAAGTGCCGGGGCTCTTCGTCGGTGAGTGATTGAAGAACAAACGAGAGATGAAGCACCAGTAACCCACTCACACGCTCACCGTGTGTGTGATTGCCTATCGCAGGTGGCAACTTCAAGTGTGGCGTGGCCATCGGCGACTGTGTTGAGTATGGACAAACCACCGCTGACGAGATGATCGCTTTCATTGAGAGTAGTAGTGGGTCAAGTGGGCCGGCTGCGGGGGAGAGGGAAGGGGAGGCGATAGATAGGGAGGCAGAGCGACAGGCAGCCTTGAGGACCGTTCTCGCTTGATGCGTGTTATGGATGAAGTCGGGCAATGAATTTAAGCTCTGCGTGTTTCTCTGTGTTCGTCAAGTGGCCGGATGATTGACTTGACTGACTAATTTTTCACTCAGCATGCACGTGTCCACCGTATACATCTATCGATGCATTGGTTGGTTCATTTTGTGCCCCTCTGTGCAATGCATGTGTTGGCCGCAGGTTGGCCGCCATTACCCATTCCATTGGCACGCACCCATCCACGCACCCGTTAGTTTGTGTAAGCCATGCATCCATCGTTTGTCAGTCAGTCAGTCCTTTCCTCACTCACGCACCGGTCGGTTGTGTGTTGACTCACTCACATGGAGGTGACTTGGTGTGCGATTTTGGCCTTCTCGACGTTCGGCAAATGGACATGTATTCCACTGTCGGGGTCTTCGCCTGGACACAGACACGCACACAGAGACAGACAGAGAGGAATGTTCGCTGTGGCCGCACTGTCTGTCTGTCTGTCTGTCTGTCCACCCAGCTCTGCTCTGGTCTGCGTGTGTACAGTAGGTACCTTCGAACA